AAAAAAAAAAAAAAAAGAAAAAAAAACAAAAGACAGGACAAAGTAGAAAAAAACAACAATTCATAGGAAGACGTGGCACAAGTATTTTATAGGAAATTGTATACGCAGGTGTCAAAACCTAGTATTTCACTTTCCTGGAATTGAAACTCTGCAAGTCAAAGCTTTAACAAGGACTTTTGTAGAGTCTTCTGCACTGAATTACCACTGAAATCAGAGGCAAAACCCTAAGCCACACTCAAGCCGGGCGAAGTACAGGCCCTTGGAACGTGACAACTTGTGTGATGGTGTTCAGGACTCTGCTCTCTTCATGCAGAGGCCTGGGCGTTTACATGTCTCAGGGGCTATGCTGCTGGGGGAGAATCCTCCCATCTCTCTCCCAGGAACACATACGCCGCAATATCATTAAACAACAAAAAACCACAGCAAAGCCCTGGTGAGAAATGTCCCAAAATGTGCAGTGGTTACCTATCAACAGACCGTGGGATTCAGTGGAATTTTCCCTACAGTTTTACACATTTTTCTATGGATGTGAATAAGTCACCCATCCCTTAAAGACAATGCACTACTAGGTGATTTTGCTGTTGTGCAACAGCAGAAGATACTTCCACGAACTAAGATGGCAATGGTATCACCAGGTGACCTCCCCGTTACCGTTTGTGTCAGCATGCCCCCCAAAGCCTCGTGCAATCATGGGGCGGGCTTCTAGGGTTTGTGATTGACCCATGGTCCAATGGGTGTGAGTGCCACACCTGCCTGGGGTGGGAGCCTGCATACAATGTGAGGGAGGGAAAGAGGCTGCTCTTTCTACTGCTCCCTCCCCGCCTTTTGCTCTTGTTGCTTTTGCTGTCTTCCACCGCCATGAACTGCTGCCCTCTCTGCCTTGGAGCTGGCCAAGTACGGACTGAAACCTCCACAAACTGTGAGCTAAATAAACCTTTCCTTCCGTAATTCTGGGTGCTGGGTATTTTGTCTCAGCAATGAGAGGAAAGTAACCAACACACCCCCCGCCTTTGGTTGTAGTGTTAGGAATCGAACCCAGGTCCTCACAAATGCTAAGCAAGCCTGCTATCACTGACCTACATCCCCAACAGGTGGGACCACTGCGGTAAAGGCAGTCTGAAGTTGACCAAAACGTTGTTCTATGGTATATATTACCATATGCTGTTTTTCAAAAACAACCCAAGCTTTGCCTGCCTTGAAGTTCCTTGATCTTGCCGGAGAAAGCTCGCCCTGACGCTCCGGCTGACCAGTGCTTTTCCCTTTCATTCCTTCTGAGCTCTGGGCCTTGGGCTCCTGGAGAAGGCCTGAGCCCCTTAGGCCATTCCCGCTTCCTGGAGCCGAGGCAGAGCACAAACAGAGAGCGGCAAGTCTGCCTCTGCGTCTGAGGTTTCCCATGGAAACTTCTCGAAGATTTAGAAGTTTAAGACTTTTAAGCAGGCTGCAGCAGTGTGCGCCTGTAGTCAGGAGGCCCGCTTCAGCCAGGAATTCAGACCCACCTGGACAACACTGCAAGACTCCGTCTTATTAGTGAAAAAGCAGAAAGCTCTCGGCCCCAGCCCCAGTGCTGGGGACAGACAGACCGCACCGCGGCCGCCGGCGCGGACCCACCTGCACGTGCCTCTGCTTGAGCAGCGTGTCGTAGCGGTTGGACGGCGGCAGGTGGATGGCGGCACCCTGGCTCTTGCACTCCGAGCGCAACCGTTTGTCAAGAAGCAGACTGGCACAGAAGGGGAACAGGGCATTTTCACACGCTGAACTTTTATGGGAAATCCAGACCACATGACACAAGGTCTAGTATCCGAGTCACAAACCAGCCACGCACCTTCCAGCCATAACCTTGTAATATGCGAATATCTGGTCCGCAAGCTTGTACACAAACTGGTCAAAACACAGATTCACCTGAAGGGGAGGAAGCACACAGAAGACCTCAGTTCCCCAAAGCAATTCCAAACGACACAACGTCAGGACAAGATCTCTGAAGGTAACAAATTTCTATGGAATTAGAAAAGAGAAAGTACAGTGAATTTTATTGTCCAATATCAGCACATTAAGTAAACAGCCGTGGCCAAAAGTGACCACTATCCTTTCACTAGAAAATTATACCAGGGATGTCTTTGCTGAGAGGCTCGCACACCCCTGCCTCATAAATACAGAGATACGAAGCAGTCTCTCTTCACAGACGCTCTCAGGGGGTTAAGTGGGCACAGCCGCTGGGGTCCCCGCTGGGCTGGCTCTGGCCAGAGCTGTGTTTTTCAGAAGCCACTGTCTGAGGGCATTTCAGGTTTCCCTTGGAACAGGGCTGGTGGCACTACGCACAAGGTCACCCGGGAGACACCCCCAAAACTCATACCTTTGCTTCAGAGAAGGCCAGCTAGCACCTTCCACTGAAACCACGCTGGGATGTGTGGGCCCTGCTGCGGGCCTGGCTCACGGAGCTGCCTGCTAAGAGGACACTTAGCCCCTCACCCGGTCTGCAGCCGCGGCAGCCATGACACCGCTGAGGAAAGGGCCATGCAGCTTTCATGAGGGGATCCAGACGCACGAAGTGATGTGTGGAGGCCGGGGCCCCCACATGTTAAGCTAAGAGACTGACCTCCTGAGGCGAGCGTGCACTGACCTGGTAACCCACTTGCGGGACCCTGTCCTTCAGGAATACCAGAGGCAAATAAAGCAGTACATGATGTGAGTTCAGCGAAGTACTATTTACAATAACCGCAAGCGCAGAGACTCAAGGAATGAAACAGGGCTTGGTCTGGAGCGCAGCGCGTGTTCCGCTCCGAGGACCGAGGGCGGCGGACACAGAAGCCGCGTGTGCTGTGACAGGCGTGTGTGGATGCCCCGGGAGCGGAGCTGCCCCGAGGGGCCTATTTCACGGTTTTAAAAAAGGTTTCATTCTCTTAACACGCAGAGGGAAGCAAGCGTAAGGGGTGTGGTGCTGAGCTCACCTCTGCCTCGATCTCGTCGTAGAGGAACTGCTTGCTGAAGCGGGTGAGTGCGTAGTGGGCGCTGTCGTTGTACAGGTCCAGGGAGTAGAGCACGTACCTGCGGAGGCCGCGGGGTCACCCCAGCCCGGAGCCCGCGGCCGCACAGCCCCCGCCCACAGGGGCGTCAGCTCTCACGCAAGGGAAACAGCTTCTATCTCCAAGGCCAATCCATGCCGTATGGAGTGCCCCCCCCCCCCCCGCAGACACAGGCTGATCCCACCGCGGGAAACGGCCTCATTCAGGGCACACAGACAAGGCCTCCAACTCCCACGCATTCCCACTGTTTACAGGATATTCTGAACAACAAAAGTGCGTCGGGAGGGTCTGTCACACCCTAGAATGACCGAACTGCCAGTAATGGAAAGGCTACTTCCAACAGCTCAAGGGGTGGGGTGCAGCTCACTGCGTGTGTGTAGCACACACCACGCCCTGGATTAAATCTCCGGCACCACAAAAAACCCCCCACAGAAACAAACCACTACAACCAACAACAACAAAGACCCCGCAGCAGCTGAAAGAGGGGTCTTCCAGGGTCTCACCACAAAGAACTGGGGGAAGTGGTGATGAGTATCATGTTTACCCTGATCCAATCACTGCATAACATGTACCCGCGCTGAAATAGCCATACATATGTATAATCACTACACACCAATTTTAAAAAGTGAATTTGGAGAAAGAGCAGTGATTTTCTTATTTTAATACTGAACTGTCTGACTTAAAAAGAAGACTGTATGACAGTCTCGGATGTATTGGGCCCAAGGCCAGAAGCTCCTCTTCCCGAGCTTGGGCCTGGGCTGGCAGCAGCCAGCGGCCTGCGGAGAAGCCACGAGAGCAGAGGGGACCACGTGGGACGGCCACCTGCTGGGCGGAGGCCTGAGCGCCTCACACTGTCACAGGGCTGTGCCACGTGGAAGGCAAGGACCTGCCCAGCACTCAGGGCTCCGGGGACCTCTGACGACTGACTCCGCAAGAACCGGCCCAGGGACAGTCCTCGGCTGTGAATATGACACCCCATTTTCTAAGGCTTTCCTGTCCACACGAGTCCTCGCCTGATTCTACAGCCCTGACTCAGAATCCTGACCCCGAGACCAAGCTAATCCATAGGTATTTCCTTCCTCAGTTTCTCTGCCCCAGAGGCTGCGCCCCAAGGGAGCAGGCCGAGTCGGGTGTCTGGGCCCTGTGACTTGCGTGCTCCAAGGCCCAGGCTCAGCTCAGCTCAGCCCCCAGCCCAGGCCTCACCCACACAGCCTCGCCCAGCAGCCATGCAAGGGAGGACCTGCCAGTTCACCGCCTGAGCTCCCGGCTTCAGTCCGAGGCCAAGGGACAGGTACTTGTGCTAAGCCCGCAGCTTTACTCGGGGAACGCGATTTCCAGCGCGGTGCGGACAACTGTCCTGGCTCCTCCACCCCGAGCACCCACAGGGTCAGCACAACAGCCCCGGCGAAGGCAGCCCTTGAGAGACACGCACTCCATCATCGAGGCCTCCTTGGTCTCCAGGATGTGGTCGGTCAGGATCCAGGGCACGGACATCTCAATGGGAAACTGGATCCTCCTGCCCATGGTCAGCTCCAGGAAGAACTCTCGGAACCACAGCTGAGAGAGGTCACAGCACTGCTGCAGAGTCTCTTGAAGATTCAAAGTGCACCGTGTTAACCTCCATGTACGGGAAAAGCGTCAGCAGACAACACAAGGGGGGCTGTGGGTGAGCGGGACCGCGTGCAGGCTGCCACAATTCCACCCTCAGCCCGACACACACACACACACACACACACACACACACACACACACACACACACGGCATGGACCTGAGCAGGGTGGAGCCGCCGGGAGCCTCCCAGGACAGCGTGGTGCAGCCGTACAGGCGGCGCCTGGCCCTGAGCACTGTGAGTGGTTAGCACCTCCTGCCTGCCAGAGGGCCCTACCAGCCCCCTCAGGAGACCAGGGGAAACCGTCTTTCCAGACAGAAGAAGTGAAAACAGGACTACAGGCTGAGCATTCCTAATGTGAAAATCAGAAATACGAAGCACGCCAAGTCTGAAGCATCTCGGGCACCGACATGACACATAGCTCGAATATCACACACCCCACTCACAGGTGGGTCGGCATCAAAATGCAGGTGCACCAAAAACAGGGTACGGTCCACGCTGCTAAGCGACAGGCCCGTGCTCCAGGAAATGCACCGTTAGGTGACTCTGCTGCAGTGCTTACACAAACCAAGATGAGCATGACATCAACAGCTGATGTAATCTTACGGGACCATGGTCGGAAACACCTGTCATTGCCAGGGCGGGGTGGCGCACCCCTGTGATCCCAACCCTCGGGAGGCTGAGGGAGGAGGACTGCGGCAAGTTCAAGGCTAACCTGGGCTACACAGTGAGTTCAAAGCCAGCCTGAACTGCACAGCGAGACCCTGTCTCAAAAAGACAAAAAAGAAGCACCTGTCCCTGACTGAAATGCCGCCATGCAGCGCAGCACTGCACAGTAACCTCAGGCCACACTCACGGCCGCACGGAAACACGCAGTCTAGACCGCGGTGGGGACGGCCAGCGGTGCCGTACACAGGAAAAGCCGCCCAACTGTGTACTTTCAGTGGACTTTACACTAACAGAGCCGTAAAAAATCTAAATGAACTTCCTTTTCACACTTGGATCCATCCCCAAGGTCTCTCGTGGTTGCTGCTTGGGTGGTGGTGCTGGGGAGGGAATCCACAGGCGCAGGCACGCTGGCCACATGCTCTGCCCCCGAGCTACACCTCAGCAGGAGCTCTCGTTATCTACACGCGAGTGCTCCAAAACCCAAAGCAAAATCCGTAATGCAAAACATTTCTTCTCTCAAGCACTTCAGATAAGCAATACTCAACCTGTACTTACTCTAACTTAGGATAAAAACCAATGTCTAGGACTCAGCATTACGTGAACACTCAGGGGAAGGCTAAGGAATGAGAAACTAGAGAGATTTTAAAAACATGTATCTGTCCTTTCACAGGGCTGAGGGCAACAGCACTTTATGCAATACCTTCAGGACCCCACTGCGTCAGAGGAGCCCCCTGCTCTGAGCAGAAGAGGAGGTGGGGCTCAAGAAGGCCAGAGGCAACACCCCGAGGGCAGGGCCCCCCTGCGGTCAGATGGCGGGCGTCACCAAGCAGGGCTCGCTTGGCTCAGGGCACGTGCCACCTCCCACGCCACCGCCCACAAGGCCACTTCTGCTGTTTGTCAATGCCTGGCTCTCCACCAGGGCACAGGTTACACTTGCCGGGTTGGGACTCTGTGTCCACACGGCTGGGCCAGCCACGGCTCCACAGTCCTCGTCCTGGTGAGGGCCTTGCCCCCCAGGGCTATGGACAGGGAGGGCAGCAAGGGAGCCTTGAGACGCCCAGCCACCACAAAGGTCAGGACACGGCACTGCCTGGGTGTGAGAGGCACGGGGCGGGGCGCCAGGCAGGCAGAAGCATTCTAATGGTGTTAGCAGTGTTAGAGCATGCCAGGCCGGGCTCTGGTCAGCACTGTCTCTTACCACTGAAATTTATCAAGTGAGTGTAGAAGAATGACTCTCGATGAAATTTTTCTATGTCCAATATGGCGGGCCCCTCAAGGCTACTTCTCAAGGTTTTCTTGGAGCCACTTTTATCTGCAATGAGGGACTCTAGCATGGTTCTCACCATGTAAAGCTGTGTTATCCGAGGGAACATTTGCAGGGGAGAAAACACACATGGTACATTAGTTACGCCAAACTCCAACACCACGAGAGGAGGGCTGCTCCGTGACACCCTGCCGGGGCGGGCCTCAAGCCCACACCCCAGGACTCGGTGCCCCGGGCTGGTGCGAGGGGATGGGGCCCGGGCACTCGTCTGAGAGGCCAAGCCGCTGCTGTCTGGGGAAAGAACAACTTGCAGAGGAGCAGTTCACCTCTGTGCCATGAACATCGACAAGAAAAACAAACAATGTCTTACCACCAAAGGTTAAAAGAGGCGGATAGGTGTACGACTGCCTCAGAAACGCGTTTACCACATGCAAGAGCCTTTCCATGCCCAGAGACTTGAGCTGCCGGAGCAGCTCGGCAGAGCTCAAGGACTCGGCCATGGTGCGCACCAGGTAGAGCTAGACATGGACAGGGAAGACAGGGAAGGAGAGGTAGGAGAAAGCCGTTAGTCACACGGTGCACACGCACGGGAGGGGACACGTGGATGGATGCGCGGGACAGCGTCCGGGAGGCGGGCGCTCCTCACACAGCCCCTGGGGGGCTGCTCCCCAAGGATGGGTGAAGCGCCTTCTCCCTGAGCCCGAGGTTCCCTACAGACCCAGCCGCATGCTTCGCTCATGACTTGTGAGGAGATGGAAAGAAGAGATTATAAAGCCTCTACGGAGAGACGAGCAAGGAGTCCCGGGCCCCACGGAAAAGCAGCGGAGCAGGTCACACCAGGCACCAGGGCCAAGGACAGGTACTCAGAGAGGGTGCACACCCAAGAGGGGGCGGGAAGAGCGGCTTCGCCATGACACGGGAAAGCCACGTGTCAGCTCCCTGCGCTGCATCTTTAGCAATGTTCACTTGAGACTCAACATGAAATTATGATTACACATTTAAACACTCATCAGGAGATGGTGTATGTACAGTTAGACAGCCATTGCTCGGGGGACGGGGCAGGAGAGGAGGTCATTCGCTCCTGGAGGAGAAGGAGCGGACCAGAGGCCCAGGGCTGTCTCAGTGACGTCTGGAGACACTCGGGCAGCGTGGGGTGTGCCCGGGCCCACGGTGGTCACGGCATCTCACGCCCAGCCTCTCTGGCCCACCACCCCACCCAAGACGGACCTGGCCCTGGGGAGGGCAGGGGGTGAGGACCTGCGTGCTTGAGGGTCCCACGGCGCGGCGCGGCACTTTAATGTCGAAGCCACTCTTGGGGTCCTTCTCTCCCCGCAGAGCAGGGTCATTGAAGGGCTCGTGTCCAGTCTCCCAGTCACACACGGTCTTCCTGATGGCCTGCAGGACACTGAACAGCCCCATCAAGTTTTCACCAGGGCCTTCTGCAATCACAGTGCCTCTTTACCTCAGAAACAGTGCCCAGGCGGCCACCGTGCACACCCCCGCCAGCAGGGCCTCTGAGGGCAGCAGCGGGACAGTAACTGTCACATTCAACATGAAATTTTAAAAACACAGTGCTCCTGGAAACGGCATGACGCTCAGAAGACTTAACTTCGCTGCAGTTCGCACCCGTTAGCCAGGAAGCAGGGCCTTATTTCCAGAACACTCACCGAGCGGCCCCAAGGCAAGCGGAAAGCAGAGACACTCGGGGCCCGGCCCCGTGGCTGGGCTTGTCTTCGTGCGGCTGGGTGGCCCCGTGTTCCCACATGAAGGCAAAGCCACCCACAGAGTCAAGGAGACCAGGCACATCCAGACTTGCTGGGAATGGGACCGCGTACCAACAGAGCCCTACTGCGCGGACAGCCCTGTGAGTGGCCTCTGAGGACCAGAGGTACCTTGTGCCAGAGCTGGTCACCCTGTGGGGAAAGTTCTGGCTAAAACCCCAGGAACAAACTCTTAGGCCACACACTTTGCAGGCTCAGTAGCTGGGGCCTGGTCTTTGTCCAAGGCAAATAAATGATTTCCTCTACCCTTGGTGTGCCTCCGAGATCCCCTCTGAAAGACTGTCCCATCACGCCAACCACAGCCCTCAGGGCGTACCTGGATCACACAGCTGCTGAGTCACAGGCAGGACCACAGCAGGGAACCCCAGCTGAGCCCTCAGGTGACAGAAAGCAACAGAGCTAAGTGCCCCCTCGGAAACGCTTGGGACCAGAGTGTTTAGGCTTCTGCATTTTTGAGATTTTTGAATACTTGCAAGTGCATACTTATCTTGGAAGTAGGTTCAGGTCTATACATGATATTCATTTATGTTTCACATCTACAGTGAGAAGGTAATATTACACACTTTAAATGATTTTTGTGTATTAAAAACTGTATATGAAAATGCAGGATGCAATTTCCCATGGTGGTATCATCCCAGCACTCAAAGAGTTTTGGACTTTGTAGTATTTCTGATGTCAGAATTTTGGATTAGTGTGCTAATAAACCTGTATAAAAGTGTGTTAATCCTAATAACTCACCCTGCTGTGTGTCAAATATGTTAACCATAAGCCTTAAATAAGCAAGTGAAGTCTACACTCCACCAACCCTTCATTTTACGCTGATGTCCTTGAAAGACAACCTCCTCTCAAAGGCCCACATCAAGAGAAGCAGAGGCTCAGGTCGGGACCTGTTTCTGCACTGTCCACGTTGGGTTTGTTTTTTGTTTTGCCCAGACTGGCCTTAATGTTTCTTTTTTTGGTACTGGGAATTAAACTCAGGACCTTGCACTTACCAGGCAAGTGCTTGTGCCCCTGAGCTAAATCCCGGCCCCTGGCCTTGATGTTTCAATCCTCTGGCCTCAGCTACCCGAGTAGCTGGGATTACAATCTTGTGTCCCCATGCCCAGCTCTGTGTCAAGTTTTAAAGGTTTTAGGACAGGCCAGAAGAATAAAGGCTAAGATCCTTAAGATGACGTATTTGAGAGGGGTGGCGTGTAGGGTTTGGGGCCTTGAAGGTCGGGTGATCAGAGCACATCGGTCATCCGCCCCACCCACGCTGTGCGTTGATTTAAGAGTCAGCTGCTATGCTGCTGACACCGTAAGCGTGGTACAATCCACTGAAAGTGGGACTGGGGCTGGCAGCAGCCCGCTGAGCCAGCATGTGGCGGAGTAACTCTCCCGGGGTCTGCACCCGCGACCAGGCCTGCGGCTGAGGCGCATGTGGGTGGTGCGGGAGGCTGACCTCTGGATGACGTTCTTCTTCTTCCTGATGGCCTGCCGCAGGGGCTCCCGGAGGGTCACCTGGGAGAAGTCCTGCAGGGCGGCGTAGACGGTGTGCCGGATGGCGTGGTTGAACACGCTCTCCATCCTGCCCATCAGCACCTGCAGGCCTTTGATCATGGCGATCACCTGCGGGGACAGGGCTTTCAGAGGTGGCAGGTGACGCGGACAGTGCTTCGGTGCCCACAGGCTGTCACTGCCTCCGCCACGGCTGCCCTGGGCTCCTCCTTCCCACCACACGGCTGCCCACTTTGGTACCATTCTTCTCAGAACAGCAGGCTCAGTACTGCTCTAGAGCACCTTGCGGACAGGCGCTTTGACGCAAACATACCCTAACCCACCCGCACTCACACACACACACCCCTGACAGACTCCACAAGGAGAAAAAAGAAAAAAACTCTTTTCTTCTAGCACTCTGGGAGGCTGAGGCAGGAAGCTCAAAGGGTGATCCAGCCTGGGCAACCTCACTTACTGAGCCCCTGTCTCAAAATAAGGAAGGGCTGGGGATGTAGCTCAATGGGAAGGACCCGGGTTCGGCCCCCAGTACCACTCAAACAACAAAAAAAGATTCACGAAAGCAAATATGACGGTAACTGGAAAATAAAGACACAGGAGTTTATACCCAAATCCCACTTGGCAAACAGTAATGGTGCACTGAACTCACACGCATGGAAAAGGCCTGGGAGGAGACGCCACGAGCTGGTCCAAGTCCATCCCACAAGGGCCTCTAGGAGCTGCGCTTCCCTAACACTACAGCTTGGGGTCCTTTCTCCTGCTTTCTTCAGTGGCATGTGGAACTGAACCGTTTCTTCTCCCACACAGTGCCTGTGTGACGGTAACCTGACCTCTCAGACAGTCGCTTTCTTTTTGAGAAGCAGTTTTGGTTTGTTATTGGGCCTCAGGAACCAGTAAACATTCCAGCATGCACGACCATGTCTGTGGTGATATATCTGCATCAGAAACGCCAGGAAAAGGCTTGGCTCCTTTGCCTTAGGAAACGCTTCAAAACAAGAAGTCCCTTCATTGGAATCCTTTAGTAATACTGTTTTTTGAACCAGCATGAACTCCAGATCCAAACAGTTCAAGCTTTTGCACTGAGCTACACTATTTTTTGCCTATGTTTTTGTATTGTTTTTGTTTGTTAATTTTGAAAAAGGATCTAAGTTGCTGGGTTGCCCAGCTTGGGCCTGACTTTGTAATCCTGCTGCCTCAGCCACCCAGAGTGCTGAGATTATAGCATGCACCACCACACCTGGCCACGGTTAGGTTTTCAATGTGTCTACTCTGGAAACTGATGACTTTACATTATTTATCTCATCTGGCGCCAGGGAAGCCACGCAGCGGGGACCACCGGTCTTCGGGCTGGCTCCCTGCCTTGCAGGCGCCCAGACGGAGGGCTCCCAGCACCTGGGAAGCTGCACGGCACACCGGCTCTGAGGCTGGCCAAAGCTGCTCAAGTAAGAACTACCGTGACACAGCGAAACAATGACACAATTGGCCCACCATGCACCGGCTGCAGAGGCCCACCCATGGACGAGTGTGAATCATTCAAACATGGAGAAACCCCTGGGAATATACGCCACACAACAGGTCATTCTTGCTCCTGCCATTGAGAACCAGAAAGGTCCAGAGTCAGCAGAGGAGCAGCTGCTGAACAAGGACTCGGAGAACACGAGAATGCAGACTAAGCCCGAGGAGTCGGAGGTCCTGTGGACTGGGGTCACGAGAGCCGCTTGGAAGCTGTAAACCAGGAGGACCTTGCACAATACCTGCAGAGACTCATTGGAAGCCATTCTTCCACTGACAGTACAGGCTGTGGTGGAGCTCCGGAGAAGTCTGCACTGATATTCCTGCTGCCTGTGCTGACAGTTGGGGAGAGGACACTAACTGGTTGTGGGGTCCCAAAGCAATGGGAAGCTGGAGAGAAAAAGCTACAAAGAATGGCTTTCACCCCAGATAGCTCACTTGAGATGTTAGTAAGAATTGCCTCCTCAGTCTTCTATAGCCATGATGAGGAGGAGGCCAAGGAGAGAAAACAAAGAGACTGAGAAAAAGCAGCTGCTTTTGCTGAAGCACTAAGAGAAACAGACCCCAAGTCTGATTCTCAGGGCTCCAAGAACTCAACGACTGCATTCATTTGCTACCACTGTTAAAAGCCAGGCCACCTCCCTAAGAGGCCCCATGGGCCATGCCCTGAATGCAAAGGTAACCACTGGAGATTGGCCTGCCCTCTGAAGCGGAGGCCCCAGAGCTCAGACCCATCCTACCAGTTAGTCCAACAGCAATGAGAGGGCCCGGGGCATACTCTATCTTCTCCCTCTGGCCAGACCGTCATCTCCATGGAGGAGCCCTGGGTAATCATGACTATGGAGGAACAAGAAAACAGCCTGTTGCTAGACACAGGTGCAAGTCTCTCGGTCCTTCTTTTCAATCCTGGCCTTCCCTCCAGCTGTCACACCTCAGTGACAGGAGGCACTGGTGAGGAGGTAATATGCTATCTTTGACAACCCTTAGGCTGTAACTTCTTGTTAGATCCTTCTTGCGTATCTCTGTCTTCCTGAGAAACCACTTTGAAGATACCATCATGTATTACAGCAGCCATTGATATTTTCCTACTAATCTATCCATAACTCTGTAATGTTTGTATTGCTCCTATCCTATTTTGTAAATGGATGCATGTTTATTATTATGTGTTTCCTACAACAACCATTGAGAATAGTTAATGATTATTCAATACGTCACTCATGTATAGCTCTATTTATTTTCTTTAGAAGCCACTTTGAAGATACCAAAGTATAGCACAACAACTATTGATAACCTCCTACCTCTTTTGTCTGTAATTCACTATTATTTGTCTATTTGTTGTCCTGACAAACTATCTTGTAGATAACAATATGTAAAACAATAACCATTGATAATTTCCTACCACTTTGTCTGTAATTTGGTAAGTCCCCCCTATTATTATGTTATCCTTCTTTTACCCTTTAAAATTAAAAATATATATATATATTATTTATCTCATGAAAAAAGAAGAAAAAATAAAGGAAATTCCTGTGTTGAAAAGGCAAATGGGGGAAACCATTTGAGTAAAATGAAAATGCTCCATATGCAAATTTATGGAAAGCAAGAAATGGCATGTTGAAGGTGAATCTGGAACCTTAGAGGCACGTACGAGAAAACAAAAAGACCGAGGGGGAATCATCTGATATTCATCATGAACTTACAAGATGCACATTAAAATATACACCCCAAATGTGGAAAAGAAATATCTAAAAGAAAAACAATTAGCAAAACAGACAATATATGTTTGAGAGTGATTAACAGAGACAAAAGCTGCTCAATAAATGAATGAACAGACAGCATGACTGACTGATCGAGGAAGAGAAGAAAGCAGGCACGGATTTCCAGATTCCATGGAAAATGGGTCACCACAGAGTTTACAGAGGCTCATGGCTGAGATCACACGGCCACAGCACAGATACAAGATCAGGGGACCAGAAGAGACCAGAAACAAACCCTCAGTTACAGCGAGTGGCTTTCAGCAGGGCGCCAAAACAACTCAGTCGGGGAAGACGATCTTTTCAGCAGACAGCCCGCCGCAGCACACGTGCCACAGGTTCGCCACCACTGACCTAGGGCCACGCTGGCCGGCCTGACCCGAAGCTCCTGCCAGCAATGTGGCTACTGGAGACTGCTTGTTTGTGCTCCTGGCCTAGGGTGCGAGCAGCTCTGCTGGTCACCAGGCCCGGCATGCTTATGTTACTGCCCACTAGTAAATCTCAGAAACAAGGGCTCAGCTGGGCTCTTTGGTCAGCAGCACCACGCACACGCTGTCACACATCACTGCGGGGAGAACAGAGGACAGCCCCCGCCACCCCACTGCAGGGGAGACCAAGAATTTTGCTCGCGGGTTTCCCAGGACTGCACCCATGTGGATACCTTTTCCCTTTGCTGATTTTAAATCTGTGGGGTTTTGCTGTAATAAAGCATAACAGCTATTAAGTCTTGTGAGTTCCGGCAAAGCACTGATAAGCTGAGGGTGGTCTTGGGGACCCTTGACACAGCCCTTCACGCAGAACCTTTAACAAAAGTAAATCAAAGTGTGTCATTTATTTAAATGAGATAAAACTATAAAACTGCAGAAAAACATGTAAATGTGCATCTTCATGACTTGGACTAGGCAACGGTTTCTCACGAGTGACACAAAAAGTACAAGCAACACCAGAAAAAGATAAACTGATCATCAAGATTAAAAACTTCTGTGCTTTTTTTTAACTTTTAAGCTTAAAGGTCTGTATTAGAGTGGTGCACGGAGCACGGCCAGCCGGTGCTGCACAGTTCAAGGCCAGCCTGGACTGCATGGTGAAACCTTGTCTCAAAAAACCTAAAAAAAAATCCCCGTTAAGATGGTAAAAGCGGAAGGGATTAAAGGTGGAGAAAAGGTAAGCAGCAAATGAGCAAAGGCACCCACTCCGGGACCTGGAATCCAGAGGCCTGGAAAACAACTTGGTGAAGAGAACGAAAGCCGCAGATCTCTGAGAACTGGGAGGGAGCCCAGTGGAAAACCAGAAGCTCCAGAGAAGCTGGAGGAATGGAGCACGACACGAAAAGTGGAGCAAAGCAGCAAGAAAGTTCACGCTGACTCCCGGGAGGGGACCTGTCTCTGCGAACATCAGCTGAACCCAGCAGGCCGGCAGCTCCAGGGAAGAACAACAGACCAGGCCAGGAGTGCCAAGTAAGGCCCACAGTTGTAAACTGCAAAAGCAGCACGTGACTTTACTCCAAAAGTGACTCCTACACAACAGGCTGGCGTTAGAAAAGAAATGCAGTGCCCGCCACATCTGAGAGGGTTTAATCGGGAGCCACTGTGGGAAGGTGTTAGTTGTTTAAGTCTGAGCCACAAGCAGTTACATCCAGTGTTTTTTTAGTATTATGGTGACAGGACGAGATGGCTACAAGACAGCTGTGGGGAGAGCGTGGCTAGACATAACCCCCCGGAGAAGTCTGAGCCCAGGCTGGGAAGGACACAGGCGCCTGCCTTCCGCAGTGAGAAGCCAGGCTGCTTGCGTGTGACTTTCAGAAGGGCTGGGTCTCAAAGTGCTGGCGTTAAGTCCAACAGTCTGCCTGAGCCCCTGCCTTGCTGCCTATATTCAGCACAGAACTCAGTGACCTGTTTGCTTTGCCTCCCCACCTACCAATGTGAGTAGAGATACACCTTGGCTTGGATGGTTGCCGCAGCCTGGGGTGTGTGGACAGAGGGGCCTCTGGAGCGGGGGCACCTCTCAAACCCACAGCTGGAATGAATAACAAATCAGAAGACAGTACAAATGGCACAAAGAACCTCTCTGTAGAAATAATAGCAGAAAACCCTTCAAAGCAATCAGGCAAGATAAAAAAATACAAAGAACATGCTCAGGCTAGGGAGCAGTCAAATTATCATTACTAGCAGATCCGCTACATAGAAGCCCCCCCAAATTCATCTCTTTGGTGAATTAATAAGCAAACGTAGTAATGTAGCAGGACACAAAATCAATACACAAAAATCAATAGCATTTCTATACATCAATAGTGAACTCACTGAGAAAGAAATCAGGAAAGCAGTACCATTCACAATAGTATCAAGAAAAATGAAATACTTAGGGATTAACCTAACCAAGCAGGTGAAAGACTCTACAATGAAAACTACGGTATTCTGAAAAAGGAGTTTGAGGAGGACACCAGAAAATGAAAAGCCATCTCCTGTTCCTGGGTAGGCAGAACCAATATTGTCAGAATGGCCATACTTCCAAAACTGCTACACAGATTTAGTGCAATCCCAGTCAAAACACCAGGATCATATCACACAGAGCTGGAGAAAACAGTCTTAAAATTCACTTGGAACCAGAAGAGACCCAGGATAGTGAAAACAATCCTGGCAACAAGAGCAAAGCAGGAGGCATCAGAATCCCACACTTCAGGTTATATTACAAAGCTACAGTGATTTTTAAAAAAGAAGGAAAGAAAACCCAAACAAACCAGCACGGAACTAGCCCAACACAGACATGTGAGTCAACCTTCCGTCACAAACATCCCCAGGCACATTCAGTCATCGTATCTTTGATAAAGGGGCCAAAAACATGCTGAGGAAAGACAGCCTTTCTAACAGATGATGCTGGGAAAGACCGGTTATCCACATTCAGAAGATTAAATCTAGATCTATGTCTCCCACTAAAGTCAAAATGGATCAAAGACCTAAATATTAAAACAGAAGCACCATCTACTGCAAGATAAAATACATAAAACTTTTGAAGACAGAGGCAAGGACTTTCTGAATAGAATCCCAATTGCATAAGAAATAACACCAAGAATCAACAAATGAGATCATATTAAATAAAAACCATCTGCACAGCCAAGGAAAATCTAAGAGTGAAGAGACAACCTACAAAAGGGAAAAAGATCTTGCCTGCTATTCCTGGGACAGAAGACTAATATCTAGACTACATAAAGAACTAAAAAAAAAAAAACAAAAACAAAAACAAAACCAAACATCTCAAAATAAAAGACTTCACAAAAAAATGGGCAAGTGAAGTGAATACACACTTCTCAGAAAAAGAAATACAAATGGCAATAAATACATGAAAAAATGTTCAACATCACTGGCCATTAGAGAAATGCAAATTAAAACAACACTGAGAGTCCACCTTTACTCCAGAAGAACAGCTATCATCAAGAAATCAGATAACAACAATGCTGGACAGGCTACAGGAAGGAGTCCTTGTACGTGTTGGTGGGAAGATAAAATCTAGTATGGTCACTATGGAAATCAGTATAGAGATTCCTCAAAAAATGAAAACTAGACATTCCATTTGACCCAGCTATTCCCCCTCTGGGTGTCTTCCTGGAAGAGTTAAGGACGTCACAGTATAGTGACACGTGGACACCCATGTTTATAGCGGCACAATTCATGACAGCTAAATCTTGGAAGCAGCCTGCACGTCCAGCAGATGAATGCATAGAGTAAATGTGGCATTTACACCCAACAGAGTACTGCTCTGCCACAAAGAGAAGCAGCCTGGAGCCACTCTTGGGAAAATGGCTGCGCCTTGAGGCCGGAATGTTACATGAAGTAAGTCAGACAGAGCTGAAGTGTCACCTCGTTTCTCTTACGTGAGAAACCCAAAGTACAAGTAAATCACACAGCAGAATAGAAGGCAGGTCACAGAAAACAGGAGCTGGAACTTCAGCAAAGGGGAAGCTGATCCAGAGACGCAGAGGGAGGGTGGAGGGGACAGGACAGAACAGACCCAGGACGTGCCACGTGCCCGTCCCAGCTCCTCACAACGAACGTTCACCGTGTGCTGACAAATTATTTATTTCATTTCATCTCTTCACTTATTCGCACCAGGAATCAAACTCAGGACCTCACACTTGCCAGGCAGGCGCTGCGCTGCTGAGGTACATCCCCAGCCCTGATAAACAATTTCAAAAGAAAGTAAAAAGACAAGGCACAGAATGGGAGAAAATATGGGAAGTCAAATGTCCAATAAGGAACTTACACATAGAACACTCAAAGAACTCTTACAATGCAGTAATTAAGAGACAACACCATTTTAAAAGTGGATAAAGCATGTGTGTAGACTTTTCACCGAAGAATGTGCAAAACCATCCATACTCACATGAAAATATACTTAACATCAGCTGCTAGAAATACATGGATCAAAACCACAACGGGACACTAGTGCACACCCCGAGGACACTGCAATCAGTGCTGCTGAGGAGAGTGTGAAGCGGGCTCTGGGATGCAGCCCAGGGACCCTCAGTACCACAGAGAGGAAAAATGAGAGAGGAAAATGAGGGAAGGGAAAGAAAAGGCGAAATGGTGCTGCTGCTTTGGAAATCTATCTGGTGGATCCTTAAAATGGTACCACAGGAGTCAGCAATTCTACGTCTAAGTATGTAATCAACAGAAATAAAAATCTGTATCTGTACAAAAGCTCGTATATAAAAATTCATAGCAGCACCATGATGAAAGGGTGGAAACAATCCAAACGCTCCTCCTCGGATGGCTAAATACACGTGGTACTGAATAGCCAGCAGCAAAAGGAACAAAATACCCCATGCTTGAGTGGCCCTTGAAATCGTTGTGCCACGTGACAGCTGCTGACCACCGAGGGCCACACACTGCCCGTCCACCCACACCCAGGACAGGCCAGCCTGCAATCAGAGAGCAGCTGAGGCTCCTGTGAGCTGAAGTGAGGGGAGGCCTGCAGGGTGGGGATGACAGCGACGGAGCACGGGGCTGCTCTTATGAGATACAGAAAATGTGCTAAGTTTGATTTCAACGTGCAACTCTGTGAATATACCAACAGCACCGAATTCTGCACGTTAAATACGTCAGTGACATGGTATGTGGCGGCGGCGGTGGGGATGCCTGCAAAATACGGTGAGATTGTACTATGAAAAACTTCGTGTCAAAAAATTAGAAAATGCAGACAAATTCCTTAAAAATACAAATCGGCAAAACAGATGTAAGAGAAAATTAAAAATATAAATATCCTACTACACAGTAAAAAAATAATGCTTTGAAAAACATTCTAACATACAGGGAAGAAGGCAGCATTGGTGAGTGCGGCAATGTTCAGGGCAACAAGACAACAGGTCTTCCAGACGCCTCCAGGCACCAGGAAGGGGCCAGCTACAAGCTACGTTAGGAAGCCAAAGTCCAAAACACAAGAACGGATGCAAAGTGTACAATACAATTAATATGCAAAAGTACGTTAACTCTTTTAAAAATGATCTATAGGTTTATTTATATCCCGATGAAAAATTCCAATAGGTTTCACTATGGGATGTGCAAACCTGATTCTAAAATGTTTATGAAAATGCATGGGACAAGAATAGCCAAGGAACTCCTTTCTTTTTCTTTCTCTTCTCCTTCCTTCCTTCCCTCCCTCTTTCCCTCCCTCCCTCCCTCCCTCCCTCCCTCCTTCCCTCCTTCCTTCCTTCCTTCCTTCCTTCCTTCCTTCCCTCCTTCCTTCCTTCCTTTCTTCCTTCCTTCCTTCCTTCCCTTGCTCCCTCCCTGTCTCCCTCTTGGATTTTCTGAGACAGTCTCACTAGGTAGCGCAGGCTGGCCTTGCATTGGAGGTGACCCT